TGAAAGAGAAATAATTAATGAGAAATAATTTAAATGGATCAAAACTTTAAAAAAATTGGCATCCTATAGGATACTGCACAGTCCAGGTGTTTGCAAAGAGGTGAGGAGTCAAAACATCTCAAGCACCCTCTAGAATTTGCAATTATCTCAATGTCACTCATCAAGTCCTTTAACATTTTTTTCCCTTACATTGTTCCTAATTCATATGGAAGTGATCTAAATAATGAAATTATTCCATGCCTTAATTAGAAGTTTGAAAAGAGCAGCTCCTCCAGGGTAAATGATAATATGGTCAAAACTTTCAAAAATGGGTTGTTGCCGCACACGGATTTTGGCAGCTGAAAGTGGTTTCATTTTGCAGAAGTTTCTTGCTTACCCATTTCCACCACTGTCCTACTTCCTCAAAGCCATGATACTTTTTTGCTTGCTTGCTATCATCTGCAGGCAGGACAGGGAAAATTCTTGAAGGATTTGGAAGCTTTTCTTTGGAGAGGTGGAGATTTTGTGCCTGGGCATGTTGGAAAGGTTGCATTTACTCCTTCCCAGCTGAAGGGAATGGTGCATCCCAACCATTGCAGACAATTTACAATCATAATTTTTAGCTAGTTAACCTCTTTTCCAATTTAAAAAAATCTATATCACAGTGTGATATTTGGTTTTTTCATTTTTATCATACAGCACTGCTTGGTGATGTTTAATGGAAACCATGGCCTTTTCATAAAAGTCCTGTCATGTTGATGGTGTAAAATGCAATATTTTCCTACCCCAAACTTCTTTCTAAAACTTTGCACACAATTGCATTTTAAATCTCAATAAAGAATTGTAATTAATTCTTAGAAATTAATTGGGTTTTTTAAATTAATATAATGATTTTAAAGGCAGTATTAATTCCTTTTAGGGAGAAAAAAAATCTTTAGCAAGCCTGCTGAGCTGGTGGTTCTGTGGAACTGTTTTCAGAAGTTGGGGATTTGCTGTAGGATATATTGCTGTTAGCAGGAAAATGAGCAGCCTTGTCTTGGTGCCTTTCTCTCTGATATTTACCTATTCATGCCTGAGTCAAGAGGGGTTTAGTGGAGGCTGGACTGTGTCATTAGGGGTGGATTAATTCAGCTGCATGGTTGAAGCTATGAGATAATTGCTTGCCCATCTATTCAGTATTTTGACTCTTCCCTGACTCCAGGAGTATCTTTGCTGCCTCTCCCTTGCTGTTGCTCCCTCCCACCCCTTCTTTCTTCTTGCCCAATATTGCCGAGTCTCTGTTTAACACTCTGATCCCTCTCTGCATCTGCTCCCTTCCTTCTCCTTCCTTCCAGCACTTCACTTCTCTTTCTTTTGTGCACTGACTCATTGCTTTGTCCCTCCCTTGCTCTGTGAGCACAGGGGTGTGTGAAGTGCACAGAATAGTGCAGACAGCCTCCCTCCTGCCTCCTCACACCTCCCTCCTGCCTCCTCACATCTCCCTCCTGCCTTCCCAGCAGATCCATCCCAGCTTTTCCCAGCATTAGCAATTTCATGCCATGGCCTCATATAAAAATCAGTGTGAAAAAGCACCCTGTCCGTGCCCAGGGTTGACATGGGACCAGACACTTCAGCTGAGCTTCAGGTTATTTCATGCTGTAATGAGAAAGGCTGTTAAGGAGACAGGGAATTGGGTTTCATGAGTATTGCAGAGCTCCACAAAAAAATTTCATTTAAATTCATAGAGGCTCTTTCCAGCCAAGGAAACCATGTCTGTCCTGATAAGTGGAGGAAGAAATCCAGCTAAATGAGGGAGCCAGCTGAAAAAGAGGTGCTTCACAAAGTTAACCATATTGTGTAGAGGGGAAATAAAGGGATTTCCTCTGTTTTGTTGTCTGAGATCAGCAATGAAATGCAGATTGGGAAGGGAGCTCCCTGTATTTTTATAATATCATAAACACTGGGAGAGCTGTGTGATCAGTAAATAATATTCCTGGTGGGAATATTGCAGCTTCCAACACCATTTAACTGAGGGCAAGGAGCCTGTTCCAGACACAGCTGGGGTGAAGTGCTGTGCTGAAAGCTAAAGCAGATGGGATTTGAGGGGTTCATGAAATACAGCTGGGAGTTTCTGAGTGCTCAGGTCTGCAACCAAAGCTGGTAAGCGCCCAGAGGTCTCAGGGCTTTCCAGCAAAAGGGTTTTATTGCAGTTCTGGTCTGGCTGTCCCAAGCATGAGGGTCAGGATGAAAACCTTATTTGGTGAATTGAATGGCTTGGGCTGTCAATAGCAGGAAAGGAAATAACACAATTAAAAACACTCTGGGTGGCTTATTTGTGCAAACCACTTGGATCAGCTGTCAGGATCCTAAATTGGAGCCTGTGATGCTCTGACATGGTGTGGTGGATTATACACAAAGCAGAAAGGAGGAAATCATTCTTCTACTCCAAGTGGCATAAATGGAGCCATAGTCTGTCCTTTTTAGTAAAAATGAGGCAAAACATTTCTTGGTTCAGAGGATCACTGCCCCACATGGACGAGCTGTCAAACATCTGCTGTATAACAGCGTGCAAAAGTCTTTTTTCCTCAATTTCACTATCACTATTTCCCTATCTGGGGGCTACAAAAGCATTTCTGGGTAAACAGGTACTTTGTTTCCAGAGCAGCAGCCTCTTCCTTTTGCTTATCCACTCATGATTCATGAGGCTGTTGTGGAACTCAGGAGCTGCTGGTGAGGTCACAGCAGCCTGCTTGTGTCATCCAAGTGCATGACTTAAAAAGGAGGAGCCTGTCCAGGAAAGGAAATTCTTTTGTTTATCCACAAAACATCTAGATAAGCAGCAGTTGTCAGGAGTGAAAGCCAGAGAAAGTTGGTGGTGGCCAGATGAGGCTGTGACCAAACATTACCCTTTGAAGAGCCGGCTGGAGCATGGTTGGGTTTGCTCAGCACCCTCCTGAGCATTGATCAGAGTGAGCTGTGTAGGAGACCACAATAACCTGCTAATCAGGAGAAATAATAAAGGAAAGACTGTTTTTATTTCTTATAAATAAAACACATACCTTCACAGAATCATAGAATCAAGGAATGGTTTGGATTGGCAGGAACTTTCAGGATCATATAGTTGCAAACTCCTTCTATTAGACCAGATTGCTCACCCTGTTCCTTCAGCTGTCATTGGGTTAGAAAAGCCCTTGGTTCTGATCTCTCTTGGACAAAGTGGGTGCTTCAAGAAGAGATTTTGGTGAGTAGGAAAAATTATTTGCTGTTCCTCATCAGGTCAGTGCTCTCCCTGGCCCAGTACCCTGCTGCTAAACCAGTACCAAGTTCCAGAATACAAGGATGGTCCTAATGTACCACTGCAAATCTGTCCAGAGTAGGAGAGTCTGAATGATGCTCAAGTGCTCAAAAAATCTGGGAACCCAAAAAATGAGTGTATAGCACTGTGACGTTATGCTGGCCTCTTCTTGGTTAGGTCCAGAAGCACTGACAGTGCAAGAAAGAATACTCTGTTATGAAATAACCCAGAGAAGGAGAGGCACTGCCCATTCTTGGCAATTGGCTGCTGTGCTGATGTTTCTTTATTTGTGTAACCCTCTTGGGGTAACCATAGGGAGGCTGCTACTAAGGCCAATGTTTAGACTTGTGATTTAATCCAATTCTTTGGCTTCAGTGGTTACACACATCAGTTTGTGCTGTGGAATAACTCTTGTGATGCAGTCTGAGTCAGGGTTGATCCAATGGTGAGGAGAAGCCCAGGCAGGACCACAGTGGGGGCCCTGACCTCTTGTGGTGAGTGAGGAACCAGGAGCACTCCTGACACTGCTGTGGCACTTAGCCCTGGGGACATTGGGCTGCTTTGTGAATTAAACCTCCAAAAACCTCAGAAAGGGGGAAAGTACCTCATCCACCAAGTCAGCAGCCAGTCTATGGTCCATGCCCCCGTGTACAGAAATGGCACTTTCTCATTGTTGGGGAGGATGAAGCAGGAAAGCCTTATAAATATGATTGCTTGGCAAAAGATTTTGAGAATATAGAAACTATAAGTGAGATTGAAATGAAAGCAAGCTTTGGGATCTTTTAGTTACTGAACAACGGGAAAACAACGGTGTGGCTGACTAAAAGTAATCCCCTTTTGATGAAACAAGACTCTCTGCTTGTAAGCAAGTCTAAGAGTCTGAGCAGACCCTGCCAGCTTGGCAGAAGGGGCCCAAAGAGGAATTTGTAGGGTTTAAAATGTAACACAGTATAGTAATTTAGTGATTCTTATAAGCTGTATGTAGATGCTATAGGATTTGTATATTGTACTAGACTGGTTAGTGAGAATCAGAATATTCAACACAGAAGATGGTTTATTGTATTGTAACAAGAACTTCGCTCTCTTAGCTCTTACCCCTTTTACTCTCTTACCCCTTTTAGTCTCTTATGCTTTTACCCCCCTCTCTTCTCTCGGGCCTGCTCCGAGCTGTGGCTGGCAGCTCCCAGCAGGGCCCTGCACCCAGGCCCTTTGCAATGAACCCCAAATCCCAGCAGGGCCCTGCACCCAGACCCTGTGCAATAAACCCCAAATCCCAAAAGGCCCCTGCACCCAGGCCCTTTGCAATAAACCCCAAATCCCAGCAGGGCCCTGCACCCAGGCCCTTTGCAATAAACCCCAAATCCCAGCAGGGCCCTGCAACCAGGCCCTTTGCAATAAACCACAAGTTCCACGACCTCGCTGCAGAGATCTCTCGTGTCTGTCAGTCCCAACTGTCCCACCCCCCGATGCTCCTACACTCATTTTCAAGCTTTGCTCATATCTCTGCTGGATGATGGTTCTTTATTAAAATGGTTGTGTCTGTATGCCTTTAGTGCACTGCATGAGTGTGAATGTCTCCATATGTTTGTAAAGGCAAAGAAAGATGTTTCTAATGTCATTTCTGTGTTTAACAAGAGCAGCTTCCAAAGGACACCAGAAGAACCATGTTCAATGGTTGTGTTTCAGTTAACAGGCGTCAAAGAAAAAAACGCCACTTTAAACCAGGCTTTTTCTTCTCTTCTTTCAGGGGTGCATTCTCTGAAGTTGTTCTGGCTGAAGAGAGAGCGAGTGGGAAACTCTTTGCAGTCAAATGCATTCCCAAGAAGGCACTGAAGGGGAAGGAAAGCAGCATAGAGAATGAAATTGCAGTGCTGAGAAAGTGAGTACCAGACCTTCGTTTCTGCCCCTTTGCTTCAGCTAGACTCCTGCATCTGAGGAACAGTGATTGACAAATGTGACTGACAAGTTGTTCAGCCCATCACAGGCAGACAAGATCGTGCAAATTTAAATGGGGCTGAAAATGTTTTGAGAAATGTTCTTCTTTCAGATTAATGCAGCCACATAACTGCAGAATGGGAAAGGAGTGAGGCTAGAGTAAGTCTGTGATGCCATAAAGAGACTTTATCCACTAAGAATGCCAGCAGTTGTGTCACAGCATCTGAGGAGAGCCGGAGCAGGGTGATAATTTTTAAATGCTTAAAATAATCTGTTTAATTGCTCTAAAATGATGACATGCCATGGATTGTCATAGGAGATGGTGTTAACCTGTGCCATAAAGATGAGTGGTACTCTGTACTTCTGGAAGGGAGATGTGGTTTTTTCCCTTACTTTGGCTGGAATACATGGGTAAGAAAAATGAATTTCACAATTTCTGTGAACTCATTGTAGTTTTTAGAGGTTTGATCCTTACCTCTTCCTCATCTTATGCCCTGAAGGTGGGATTCATCTCACCTGACTTGAGACATTTGGATCTGCACTTATCACCCTTGATTTTCATTCTGGGAAATAGAAAGAGATTGGTTACTTTAGGATTGGTTCCTGTAATATGTTTTAAACTTCTAAAGTGCCTTCTCATTGACTTAAAGGTAGCACAGTTACACAGAACTACTTTGCATTGGTTGGGACACATTCCTGCTGCACTTCTGTCCCAACTGGGACTTCTTGCCCCAGTGCTTGGTCATGTCAGAGCTGAAGGCTGATCATCTGGGCACCACATGATAAAACAGATCTTAAAAACTGACTGGATGAAGAGCTCAGCCAGCCTAAGTCAGAGGAGCTGGCTCAAGGGCAAATTCAGACATCTCAGCTGGCAGAGGGGATCCTTTTGGTGGAGAGACATAAATGGAGCTCCAAACAGCTACGACTATTTGTAGCAGTGCCTTCCTATTGCTGAGCCCACCTTGGGTCAGTACAAGGTGAACCCAGTGAGAAAAGCAGCATGTTGTCTTGCTGTGTGGTGTTTTTGAGAGCCTTTCATAAAACTCAACCATTGCCATGTCTGTAACCAGGCAATAATGGCCAATAACCACAGCTTGAAAGTCTCTTTGTTGATAGGTTTGTCCCCTGATTCTCCTGTGAGGTGCAAGGGGAGCAATATCCATGTGCAGTAAGAACTGACTTGCTCAGCCTTGATCCTGAGCTGGCAGAGCAGAGAAACCATTCAGGCTATTTCTTGCTTCTGCGCTGTGAAACGTTTCTGTTCCCTGCAAACACATTCCTGAGAAACCAGGAGGCAGCACCCAGGCTGTGCTGTTCCACCTGCAAGGGCAGGAGAGTGAGTGGGCAGAAAATGCCTTAATTTCATGCAATTATATCTACTCAATCTCTTGTCCTGTGCACATGAGGACCTTAAAAGAGAATGTCCCTTTTTTATCTCCCGGTGTCTTCTACTCAGCTGTTGCTAATACAAACTTTGCCTGTCATTGTCTTTATTCTGAAAATGGACATCCTTGCTTGCAGATGCAGTATTGAATTTGTATGTGCCACCAAGGAAACAATTAGAAAATAACAAACTAAATTCTGCCTACAGCTGAGAAGAACAGATATCAACCTGTTCCTCTGTTTAATGAATTCTCTGCTTCAAAAGCTGTCAGTAAAAATAGATTGAGAGTGGTTGAATGGATCCTGAGCAGCTGTTGCTAAGCTCCATCTAAGGGCCCTTGCTTTTGTTTCTTGTAGCTTAACACTGAGTGGGAATGGCTATTTCTTGTGTTGTCTAATGAATGGGTGGGACCCCAGAGGCCTGGGCTTCCCTGCAGAGCTGTGAGGTGCCACAGCCTTAAATGTACCATGCACTGAACCACCTCATCTGGAGGATGTGCACAGAGGATGCCTGGCAGCACCAGCTGGTCCCTGTTTCCCAAGGGAAAGGTGTAGAGACACAGAGGATGGATGCAAAGCAAACAGAAATATGCACATGTAGATGCAAAGCAAATATAAATATGCACAGGTGTTGATCCCAGTTTCCCTGACTGATTTTGTATTGTGTCTTTTGCGGGTGCTTAAACTCTGATGGGATAAAAGTCCCAAAGACATCCTGCCTGGCTAAAATGCAGACAAACTCCTTGAGATCCTTCAGAGAAGGGTCTCTTGCCTTACACTGGACTTTCTCCTCTTATCTTCAATCATTAGAGTTCTGTTTTCCTCCTGACAAACTCTGTGCTTTCTGGCAGACCTCTGCCAAGTGTTGTGAAACGCAAGATTCTTCTTGATTTCTTCTTGATCTCTTCTTGATTTCCCCAAGTTGTGTATCAAATTGAGGTCTGGTAGGAAATCCTGAATGTGCTTCCTGCAGTGTCTGGCTGCTCTCAGGTGAGCTGCTCATGCTCCTGTATGTGGTGAGCAGGAGTTTAGGAATAGCCAGAGATTGTGCTGGCATGTCCAGGATCAATGCCCACCGTGTCCCACATACTTTGTACACCCAGGCATCTCTGGTGAAGGTTCATTCCTCTGCCAGTCCTGCCAAATCATTCAGATCTGGCAGAATCAATATGGGAGAGAGTTTGAATGATGCTGTGTGTTGAAGTAATGTTTAGAGAAACATTTTTTGCAGTCAGGATTAAAAGTCTGAGCATGGAATACCAGTAATGAAAACATTAATCCAGTGACCAAAAGCTTAGGGTCCCCTCTCACTTCTGCTACTTTCCTTCTGTCACAAGAATTATTGTCTGTATCAATATTTCTTGGCTGTGAAACAGCTCTAATTGAAGAGACTTTTGAACAAACAGTTTTACCTGAAGTTGCTTTCCTGTCCTCTTTTGTATTGGCAGAGTGGATATGAGAGGGGAGCTTTCTGGGCTGGGCTCTTGGTGTGAAATCAAAACTTCTGTCAGTCCTTCTGTGTGTCTGGACTGAAAAGCTGTTGGGAGCATTAATCCAATATTCAGTGCAGCATAAGGTCAGTGACTCCCATGTGAGGTACATGGAAGGTAGGAGATTTTATCTCTCTGTCTGTGGGCCTGGACGCTCGGGCTGCCAAAACAAAATGACACATTTCAGGAGCGATGCTCTGCGAACAGAGGAGCTGCCAGCCAACTGATCTGCATGTTTGTGTGAGTGCCAGAGTGAATCATGCATACTCCATCATTCTATTTTTCCAGCCATGGCCAACAAATCTGTTCTTAAAAAAGAAAAGAGGCGGAAGAGCCGTTAAGTCAATATTTACGCCTAGCAACCTTAACGGGGCTCTTCCAATATGGACTCTGTGTCCCGTGGAAATCCATGGCAACATTCCCTGAAGACAAGGATGGGTGGGGACAGAGTGGGAAGGAGCTTGCTGGGAGAGACTGAGTCTGCAGTTAGTCCAGGAGCCTGACAAAGCATTTAAGCACGTGCCTAATTTCAGGCAGTAATTAGTTCAGTGAAATTGGTAAGGAGGCTGAGCTCCCCTTGCTTGGATGTTTCAGAGAAGGGTGAGAGTCCCACCGTGTTTGGAACCACATCAAGAGGGGAGTTTTCTTTCTATCCTCAATTAAGACATTAGGACACATGGAGAACGTGCTTAGAATGTGTTTGAGGAAGAAAATGGGACCTCTAGGACGGGACTGTCACAGCTGCATTAACTGGCTGTGGGGACAGCAGCACACAGTCACCTCTGTGTGACACAGCCTTTTTCTGTGGGGAGTTTCATAACCTGCCCTGAAAGCAACTGTGCTCTGGTTTTGAGCACAAAGAGAAATGCAATCCTTTCCATTGTTTGCTGTAGAATAGAGGAAATTTCCTCCACTTATGGTAATTGTGCAGGTGTGAACACGCTGCAAGAGGAATCCTCTGCTGGACGGGTTCCTGAAGGCAGTGCAGAGTGCAAAGAGTGGGACTGCAGAGAAACAGCAGTCTGAGGTTCTAGTTAAAGAGAGGGGGAAAAAAGCTTATAGGCCAAATAGATAAAAACATTCCTGATTTGCTTCTAAGGCTGGTTTTGTTTTCTTTTTTCTCTTTGGCTACACCACTGTTTATCACAAGAAGTTCTCTGCTGCCTGGGTGATACCTGCCCAATTGTACAGACTCAGTGCTGACTCAGAGCAAAGCAAGAGGAGGAACAATAAATTGTGTGTAGCCCTGCACCCAGGTTTATTGATTGCTTAATGGCAGTAATGTGCACATGTGTCTTGTTGAGCAATACTGTCCAGATAGCAAATCATGCTCTGGTTTAGCTAGCTTCTGCTAAACAGGGATTTAAAAATAATTTCTAAGCTACTTAGGTATCTCTACCTTCTCTCCCACCTCTTTACTATCCTAGATCCTGTGGAAGAGGCATCATTAAATTCCTTATTACAAATCAAATCCATGCCTTACCGAGGTCTGAGGCTTTTTTTCCTGTTAAAAAGAGTGAACTGTTCCCAGCAGGTCAGCTAAACTTGTGCCAGTGCTTTCCATCCCCTTTTCCTCAGGAGACAGGATGTTCAGGCACTGGTTCACTGCCTCACTCCTTGTATGCCTGCACTAAAACCAGGAGCTGCTGCTGGGATAAAGAGCAGGGAGAGAGGAGGGGACATGTCCTCCTGCAAAGCCTGGGAGGTCAGGGCTGTACCCAAAGTAAAACTGAACTAAAAACAGCAATGAAAAGTTTTCCTAATGCGGGTGGAATTGTGGGAGCTCCTGTTCACCAGTAAATCAGGTGATGGTCAAAGGAGCCCCTTGCTCCATGCCAGGAGGCAGTGCTGCTCCTCATGTTAAAGAAAACAAATGTGGAAAAATCACCCTTCTCAAGATTCACATGAAGGCTGCAGGGGTAATTAAAAAATTGTACCTCTTTGCTCCTTTTCAGCATCCCATGGACAAACTTCTTGTAAAACCTCTCTGTCCCAGATTCTTATCTCTGTTCTGCCTCAGCCCTCCGGAGCTGACTCCATGGCCTCCAGGAAGAGGAATCCAAATTTA